CAAGCATGAGTTCAAGCCAGGTCAGGGAAACAGATCAGAACAGGAAGGCTCAAAGATCCAGGAATCCATACCCCGATCAGTGATAACAATCAGAACAGGAACAGGCAGGGCCAGGGTTCCAAGAGTCCACAGAGAGTTCAGGCAGAACATTCAGATGGGAACAGGCAAGCAGAGTGCTTGAGGCAGAAAAGGTCAGGATAACAAGAACATTACGGTACACTAAAATCTCACTCTCTCCCCTGAGCCAAGACAGGAACAGGGCACGCTCAGTGGAAAAGAGACAGATCATAATCGGGAAAATAGGAACACTACAAAACACTGAAAACCTCTCTTACCACTGGCCGGCCAAATCAAGAACATGAACCATGGCATCAGCAATGACATCCAACTCAATGATCTGTCTGCGATAGCTGGGACTGAACTGTATATAAAGGAACAGGAGCAGGTGGATTAGATGAATAGTAATTGGAAACCGGGGAGAGTTAGGCAGGTGAATAAAATTAGCAATTATGCCAGCCCTTGGAGTCATGTTCATGAAAGGGAATATACTATGCTGGGGTCTGGTCTAGAATATGAATTTACCATAAAAAAAAATGCATATCTTTGGATCATGTCCAATTAAGACTAGGGCAACAAAAGGCTGCAATACTACAAAGCAGAAAATTAAGTTACAAGATTATAAACAATAACCTAAGTTTAAACAAACTTAATAAGTTATTCAAACAAGGTTAAACACACTGGTGTTCTGTACCCTAAGAGTTTGAAATATTTTCTTGGTTACATTTAACAATATTTTATGTTAATTCATTAAAGAATAAGGCATTATTTAGTAATTCATATTAATATAACTGAATGGATCAAATAGAGTTAAGATAAAAGACTGAAGACTGAACTCTCTAAAGTTTCCTACAGCTTGCGAAATGTCCATTTACACCTATATAAGCTGAGAGGAGTGTTGGTATATATTTGCTTAATGAATTGATGCACTTTTTGGAAAGTCTACAGCTCCTAGAAAACTGACTCAGGCTAAATGTGTGGTAGATTTGTAAATTCATAAGGAAGAGTTGTGTCACAGCCATGTCTCAGAGGTGGCTGAGAGGGATTTAACTAAGAATGACAGTTTGATCCACTTGTCAAACTGTGCTTGAGCAGCCGCGTTGACCCTGATGTTCTTACTGGTGTGTGACTGTGGCAAAGGAAGCGTTACATGTGCCAAGCAGTGCTACTGCATGTGTAGCGCCTTCTTGTATTTATTTGCTCCCCTGGTACAGATGTGTGAAGAGCTATAAAATAAATATTACCTTCACAGCTGAAAGATTATATTAGATGGAAAAACGTTGGAAGCCCTATTCTTTAACTTAAATACATTTATTTATTCAGTCATGTATTACAAATCATCCCTGCCACTTATTTTGACAGCCATGCTGTTATTATTTTCCTTACCTCATTAAACAAGACTTTTGTTATGATAGTCTAGAACATTTCTAATTATTAGAGTATATCTAAATTGGGGGAATTGATGGTTCCTGTTTGCTTTGTCTTGATTTTGTCAGGAGTCCTGGATTTTCTTTTCCTGAAGTTTTTTCTCATTCGGTTACCCTACAGGTTTCCTATGTCAAATTTTGCTCAGGGAATGGTAAAATGCATGAGAAAATTTGATTTTGGCTTCTCATAAATAATTTTTGTGTGTAAATTTTAATATTGTTTGGATGTTTTTTGTCGTGGTACTACAAAGATTTAAAGAAGCCAATGACCCTGGCACCTGGGTGTTTGAATGAAAAACATGTCTCTAGTTCCATAGATCTTCCACTGTACTTAATAGTAGCTATGAGGTACTTTTTGTATAATGATCCTGAAATTACTATTTCTAGACCTCTCCACAACTAGTCAGCATGTATAAAGAATCTAATAGATGTTATAATGAATCTAATGGCTGTTATACCAACCATTAGATACATATATGACTACTTGATGAGATATGAACTACTTGATGAGAACAAGAAAACATGCTGCTCTCTTGTTTTCCAACAGTGAGTCTTGAAGATACCTTCTCCCTCCGTACCATTTTCCGCATTGTGCAGACTGGCTAGATAAATATGTAATGTTTTTTTTCCCTCTTAGAACTGATACACACTAAGTCCACACTTAGTCCACACTAACCTCAAGTCACAACAAATAAACCACATTTTCCTTTTCTTTAATTGCATACTCTAAAAGAGTGCAGATTTTCTTTTTTTTTAGCATTTGAACAGCTTCACATTGAGAAAGAAATGTAAAATTTCAGGTCCAATTATGAACAATTTTGAAATAGTAAATTATTAACTGCATGATTCAGGACTCTTTGATCTTTACTCCTGTTTTACTTTCATGGATGATCTAATTCTTTGTTGTACAGATTTGTACAGGCTTTTTCCTTAAAGGCTGTAGTCCTAACTTGACAAGCATCACCCACAAACAGGCTAGGAATGCACATGTTTTTTTCTTATTTGCCAGTTTTTGTTGGGGTTTTTTTCCCTCACAAAACTGCTGCTTACATTCTCTTTTCAGACTATCCTCTGCAAACCAGACAGGTGGTTGCATGTGAAAATCCCAGTGGATGAGCAGTTTCTGAAATAGTCAGATTACTCAGTCTGACACCCATAATGTCAAAGTCATCTAAATTTCATTCCTATTATTTTCAAACTTCAAGTTCAAACTTCAACAAGTCACCTTCAGGCAAACTTGCACATATTCTCCTGGCTGTAATAGGAAACTGACCTACCTACCCACGAGTGTAGGTTTGATTTCAACTTTGGTAGGGATATTATTGGTCTGATGTCATTGGTCCTATGCAAAAATATGCATGTTCGTTTTTTTATGCTTGACGTGAAAATCAGGGTGTATTTTGTTTAAAGAGAAAAGCAGCATTTTTTGCTACATTTGTACAAATTTTATAAGCTCTACCTACACACACTAGATGCTGTTTATAAATGTTTGAAGCATCATCGGCTCTGATGAATGAGGAATTATGACTTTTTTCCACTTTGAAAAGGTTTGCATTTGAAATTACCAGCGACTATGACAGAAAGTAAATATGTGCCTGTTTAACTAAATATAGTCTGAATATGGCTGTTATATGTGGATTTATCCTGTTTTTTTTTTTAAGATATACAATTGTACAGAGGTAAAACTCACTCTTATTTTTTAAATATTCTTTCTGTATCATGAAACAAAGCAAAATAATAGATTCAAAGAACACCAAATAAATGTATTTTATTTACATCAGCACTGGAACTGACACTGAACATTTAGAATATTAATTTCACTCTACAGGTCATCTAGGCTGTAGTTACTCTATTTAACCCATATCATGTACTTTATCTTGCTCTAAAACAATTCATCGGAATAGACGATTATTGAAATTTCAACAAATTCAGTAATCAATTAATCGTTAACTGGAGTGTAGAGACTCTAAAACATGTCTTTAGCTCACACAGCAACCCAATTAGTGTTAGAGTTCTGGTTCTGTTATGTTTTTCTTTTGGATGTTCAGTTTTGCTTTGCTCCCTTTTTTCTAGTTTTTTTATGGTTTAAGTCTTATTTTGTTGTGTTCTTTGTTTTTTTTTCTCACATTACTGTCTTAGTCTTGGTTCTGTTATACTTTCTTTTGAGTTTTCAGTTTTGCTTTACTCTTTGTTTAATAGTCTTAGTGGTTTAATTCTTATTTTGTTGTGTTTTCTGGTTATTTTCAGTTTTCTAGGTTATTAATTTCTTGCCCTCTGCTGCCCTCTTGTGTTCTCCTTTTTCCCTAGCTCTTTTCCTCTCCTGCTCTGTGCACACCTGCTCCCAGTGTGCTCATTAACCCTCTCTTTGTTTCAGTCTCCTATAAATACTCTCTCTGTTCTGTTCTTCTTTGCTGGGTCCTCGTCAAACTCCCCCCAACTCTGTCTCTCTGAGCCTTCCTCCTTGTGATTGTGATCCTCCTGATGTCTCCATGGTTTCTGGTTTGTTTGACTTGTTTTCATGTTTTGATTAATGGATTTTTGGACTCCTGATTTCCTGCTAGTTTGGACTTTGTTTTCTTTTTTGGATTTTGGATTCCTGTTTGTTTGGACTTAGTTTTCGTTTTTGGATCTTTGGATTACCTGTCTCTGTTTTAAGTTAACTAATAATTAAATCCACAAGAAATTCACTTCTGCCTCCCTGTGTCATAATTGAAGGTGACTCTGGACGAG